TTGGCTCATTCTAACCAACTGTTATGTACCACATAGCTCACCTAGCTGTCACCTACTGGTTCAGAATAACCAACTGTTGTATACCACACAGCTCACCTGTTGTCATCTATTGCCTCATCCCAACCAACTATTGCATACCACATAGCTCACCTGTTGTCATCTATTGGCTCATTCTAACCAACTGTTATGCACCACATAGCTCACCTAGCTGTCATCTATTGGCTCATTCTAACCAACTGTTATGCACCACATAGCTCACCTAGCTGTCATCTATTGGCTCATTCTAACCAACTGTTATGTACCACATAGCTCACCTAGCTGTCACCTATTGGCTCATTCTAACCAACCGTTATGTACCACATAGCTCACCTAGCTGTCACCTCTTGGTTCATTCAAACGAACTATTGTGCACCATGCAGCTCACATGGCTGTCACCTATCACCTCATTCCAGCTTAATATTTTGTATTGTGCAGCTCAGTTGACTGTCACTTATCATGTATCAGTTCATTCCAGCTATTGTCATGTACCATAAACCTTACCCATTACTTGTCATCCCATATAATTCTTTTGTTTGTGAAGTTTAATGTCATGAATCATATAATTCACTTGGTAATTACTTGTTTTTCTAGTCTAGTTATTTATGATGCATTTCATAACTCACCTGGCTATCAATACCAAGAATAAACAGCATTAGGAAGAATATTACTGACCACAGAGGGGCCAGAGGAAGTTGTAGAACAACTTCAGGATATACTAAGAAGGCAAGGCCAGGACCTAAAATACAAAAATATAAAGTTGTGATAAAGCTGTTATAAATACAAACAAAAGTAGAAATATTCAGGTATTTTTTGTTACAAGTTTTTCTTTTCAGATGAGAACAAGGACATGTCTTATCAAGTTATTATCTAAATTTAAAAATACAAATCATGTTCTGAAAAGCTAGCAACATTACAATTGCAAAATAACTTATATCAATAACGTATACAAAAAATAATTTAAAATATATTTATGCCTCTTTTTTTTTTACCCCATTGTATATTCTTTAAGAATCTCTTACTTCCATCTATAATTAAACTAGCACTCATTCTTTTCATATGTAAATAAATCTTAATTACTTTGTTTGTAATGTTTTAGAATTATTGTGAATTTTACTTATCATAAGCACTTCAATCAAATTTCTACCTTACATATACATTCTTTCCTAGAGCGAATGTGGTTTGGATCTTTATGAACATGTTACCAACTTAATCTTGCAGGATATAAAGTACAACTCTTTAAGAATCATACCTGACTTGACCACATCCGCAACATCAACTCCTTTTATGTGAGCTATGTGCCCAAGCACAGAGAATATCACACATCCTGCAAAGATGCTTGTAGTTGGGTTTACTATACACAAGATGAAGGAATCTCTGCAACATAAAAACATTTCCTATAACCTTGTATGGGTTTTGACAGACTGTAAAAACTACGTGGCTACATTATAAAATACAGATGAGCAAGTTGTATTAAAACAATTTTAGCCTCACATCATCGTCACATTCCACATCACCCCATCCATGGTCATGTTATATTAGTTGACTGTACAATTTGACAATAATCTTGCAGCTTAGTTCCCATAGCAAAAAGACTCTGTCAAAGGTTGTTTAATCCAAAGCACATTACTCCTCTGTGCATGCCTTTCATAATCTATCTAGTGTACAAGAGCAACTTCACTGGTATGCCTTTATATGTAATATCATGAATACCCATTTCATTCTCCAGCTTCTTGAGATATGTGATGGTTGAATTGGAGATACGTCTGGAAGCCTTATCTTGGTGAACTTGGCTTTTTTCCGTACAAATCCATTATTTCTAGCTTGGTATAGTATAAAGAGTCTATAACTTTGGTCTGATAGTAAGTTGAATTTGCTTTGACATCCATATATACTCTTCTCATCTCTAACAGCTCCTGGCACAGTATCCAATGATAAAATCCCTTCAATAAAGTTGGTTCATAAACTGGCATCTAAAAAATGGCATGAAGATGCAAAAGTTTGCTAACCATGGCTGGAGTAAAACGTGTTTCAGGTGCCACAAGTTGTTCTCTATTCTTTTTTTTTCCCCCAATGCCTTTCTAAGTACAGTTAATATCCCCATCTTGGAAACTATAAATCCCCAATCTGAACAGATATTTATGATCTGAGTATATGAATATTTTGCATTGGAAAGGACTGTTACATACTCTTCCCAAAAGCAATCAGTTTTCAATAGCATCACGTTGCCTACAAAATGTCGAACAATGCAAAGTTTAATTCTGATATATGCTTTCCCATACTCAAAATCGTTTTAACATACTCAACTTCTGCAGTGTTATGACATAGTTTATATATTTTTCAGTAGAAAAATTAACTAAGCTTCATATATTGAAACAAGATAAAAGCTTAAAAGATATAAATATAATACAAACTCAGAATAACTAAACAAAGTCATATCAGGATTAGATATGTCAGCAAAAATCAATATTTTATTATCAACTTTCCAACTCACTTCACGAAATTGTGGTGAAACTTGTTGTAACTTCCCAAGGTTACGACGGAACCAAAACCAAGACCAAAAGTAAAGAATACTTGTGTGCCTGCAACAACCCAAACCTGTCAAGAGACAAAAAAAGAAATAAAAATTGAGTTACAGTTTGACCAGTACCTATAAATTCCTTGAAATAAGTGGCCTACTTGTAATTATATTTGCATTGATAATTGGCCTATTTATAATTGATTAAATACAAATATGTTGCTTGTGTGTGTGTTAATTTAAGCTACTAGATATAACACAAAAATGTGATAAATACCAGAGTAAGTAAGTATAACTAACAAGTTCCTTAGCTCATGAAAAAAAAAGAGGAAACTATAATATACCTTTGGATCCAACAACTTTTCAAACTGAGGTGTAACATAAAAAAGAAGTCCATCTCCAGCACCTTCAAGTG